CCCGGCCAAGTATGTTTTATTGTGATTCGTCAGGCTTGGTTATTTGTCTAGCGTGCAGCGGGAAGTGAAGTGAGTCAGGCTGTCCAAATCAGGTGGAAAATGTGGCTAGACCAGTGTCCCTCCCTCTGCCTCAAATCGGGGTTTGTTACTAGACCTGAGAGTATTGTATCAGGCAGGCAAAACAGCTGAGTAAGTTTGAAGAGCTAATTGGCTTTATGAAGGGATTCGTGAATTGGGCAGCCTCCTGTCTGGTGAGTAGAGGGACGCTCGGAGGAGTTGCACAAAGTGGAAGGTTTTTATAGGAAGGAGAGGGGGGCAAGGAAGTTATCAAAGAAAGGATTGTTCCAGGCACTGTCACCTTCCTCTAGGGGAAGGGCAGGGGGTCTTATTGGGGACTTAACCTCAGCTTGCTTTGGGGGATGGAGGGGGTCCATGTGACTGATCACCTTATGGGTGCTGACCAGAAAATTCCTGACTGACCTGTGAAGACTTACATTTTTTTCGGCGAAGTTGAAACTGCAAATTGGTTGGGTATTAAGCCCCAGTTTGGTGACTTCGCCCAAGTGACGTCATTTTGAGCCTGTACTTTTTTTTTTTTTAAGATTTTATTTTTAAGTAATCTCTACACCCAACGTGGGGCTCTAACAGCCCTGAGATCATAAGTCATACGCTCCATCTACTGAGCCAGCCAGCACCCGCCCCCTCCAGCCTGTGCTTTCTTTTCTTTTTCTTTTTTTAATTTTAATTTTTTACATTTTTGAGAAAGAGAGTGCAAGCAAGGGAGGGCGGCGGGGGGGTGGGGCACACAGAATCCAAAGCAGGCTCCAGGCTCTGAGCTGTCAGCACAGAGCCCCACGCAGGACTCAAACTCACAAACCATGAGATCATGGCCTGAGCCGAAGTCGGACACTTAACCGACTGAGCCACCCAGCGCCCCCCCTGCGCTTTCTTTTTTAACACAGCAGAACCAGTCAGTGAGAGGAGAAGGGATCCATTTTATAGAAGAGAAAGTTGAGGCTAAAGAGGGAAGTAACTACTGCGGAGACAGAGCCAGCGAGTGCGGGGTTTGGGATGCAGCTGTCCTTCCTGACGCCTCAGTGCTAAAGAGCTATAGGGTTTGTGTGGACGTGGTTGTGCTGCTTTGTTTCTAAACACCAAAAATGCAGCTGTGTTGGCTGCCTCAACACCCTGATGTTTATGACGTATCACACAAAACATCAGAAGGGTAATTTAATATAACTTCTAAAATGAAAAATTCACGGGCGCGTGTGTGGCTCAGTCACTTAAGCTTCCAACTCAGGATTTCGGCTCAGGTTGTGCTCTCATGGTTAGGTTCATGAGTTCGAGCCCGGTGTCAGGCTCTGTGCGGACAGTGTGGAGCCTGCTTGGGATTCTTTCTCTCCCTCTACCCCTGCCCCTCCTCTGCTTGTTTCCTCTCTCTTTCTCCCTTAAAATAAATATGTGACATTAAAAAAATGAAATGAAAAATTCACATTCCCTTCAATTTGGTGGTTTCGTGTCTAGGATACAAATTACACGTGAACTTTCACTTGTGCACAAAGGTGTCTGTATTGCAGTGGTTGTTTGTAGTGTTTTTATTTATTTTAGAGAGAGAGAGCACAAGCGGGGAAGGGGCAGAGAGAGAGGGAGACACAGAATCTGAAGCAGGCTCCAGGCTCTGTGCTGACAGCTCACAGCCTGATGTGGGGATCAAACCCATAAACTGTGAGATCATGACCTGAGCCGAAGTTGGATGCTTAACCGACTGAACCACCCAGGCACCCCTGCAGTGGTTGTTTATAATAGCGAAAGGCTGTGAACACCCTAAGTGTCTGATGAGAGGGGACTGGTTACATTAACTAGGGGCCATTTATAAACAGGATATTACACAATTGTTAACAGGACGAGGCAGATATCGATGTGCTAATATGAAATTACCATCTATGCATTTTGTCCAAGACTGGGGGGGGGGAGGGACAAGGTGCAAAGGAGTGTATAGGGTGCTACCATTTGTGTTTTAAAAATGGACTGTATGGAGTTCACCTGGCATTCACCTCAGGAGGAGCTCGGCAGACCCGCTTGCCGGCAAACTGGTGCAAATTATAAAAACAAAATGACAGATCAACTGTTTAAAGCCTCTGGGAATGATCCTGAAGGCACATAGCGAATTAACCGTTCATTCGAGAAAATCTAAACGTTTGGTGAGAACAGGGAGAATCAGTAACAAGTAAACCAATACCCTCCCCCCCCCCCCCCTCCCCACCCTGCTCCAGTAACACCCCCCTCCTCCATTCCTGCCTGGGCTCCCTCCCCGCCCCCAGCTCCAAGCTGGAGGCTGTCCTCCTCGGGGGAGGGGCAGAGCATCAGTCTCTCTCGTCCTGCCACCAGCTACTTGTTGCTGAGGCTGAGTTCTGGGGGAGCACCACCAAGAGGTGTGGGCTCCCTTCTCCAGCCCAGCCCGTACTTGGGGGACTCTGTGTTCGATGTGTTGTGGCCAAGAATGCCGGAGCCCTGACTGTCCCTCCCTGGCTCCTGGGGCAGGGGGTTCACATCCAGAGGGCAAGCTAAGAGGCCTGGGGCTGCCGCCTCACCCCGCTGAGGACTCCGCTCCTAAAGTGGGGTTACTCTGAGCCAAGCCTACCGTTGTCCCCCTCCCCAGTATCAGAGCTGTGGCTCAGAGATTTTGTCTGTTGGGAAGGCAGGCTGCAGAACAGAGAGCTCCCAAGTCTTTTCTCAGAGGAACAGACTGATCACAACAGTGTGGAGTTCAAGCCTGAAGGTGCCTCAAAAACAGCGGAAGTTGTGCTGGAAAGCGATGGAAGGATATGGGTGGGTTCTGGCTAGTTTGCTGGAGAGCCAAGGAAAGAGACAGCTGGGAGGAGCCTTCCTGGGGTCAGAACTAATCTCAAACTGACTCCGGGAGCTAACCATTCAAAGGATCCCTAATTTGATCGGATCCGTCTCTGAAAAAGTTGATGCCCCCATGGTGTTGAAAACAATGAGGACCGCAGAGCAAACAGCTGACAGTTGGTGGAGCTTACCTGCCCGGCACAGTCGGAAAGACCCAGAGAACCTGCCCAAACCCACCAGCCCCGGATGACTGGGCATATCTGAGTCTGTGTCCCCCTCCCCCCTCCCCCCTGCTCTACACTTGCTGGAGAAAGGAGGATAGACTTAAATCACCTAGCCAGTCACTAACCAGGGAAACAAACAAACCCCAGGGAGTCGGGGCCAGCGCCCAGAGTTGCCATAATGTGCTATCTGAAATGTCCGGTTGCCAACAAAAAAATACGAGATAGGTGTGGAAGTAAGAACGGCATACTGGAGGGGGAGGGAGGCAAGAGAAACTGCCCACCCTGGGGAGAGTGACCACATGTTGGAATGAACAAAGCCTTCAAAGCAGCCATTACAAATATGTTTGGCGAGCAAAAGGCAAGTGTGATTAAAGAAAGAAAAGCAAGGGCGCCTGGGTGGTTCAGTCCGTTGAGCATCCGACTTCGGCTCAGGTCATGATCTCAAGGCTCCTGAGTTCCAGCCTTGCATCAGGCTCCCTGCTGTCCGCGCAGAGCCCGCTTGGGATGTTCTGTCCCCACCTCTCTGCCCCTTCCCTGCTTGCACTCTCTCTCTCTCAAAAATAAATAAAGCTTAAAAAAAAAAAAAAACGCCCTAAAAGCAATAAACCATGTGGCACCAAATAGAGACTATCAACAGAGAGACAAGTTATTTTTAAAAAGAAATGGAGGGGCACCTGGGTGGCTCAGTCGGTTAAGCGTCCGACTTCGGCTCAGGTCATGATCTCGCGGTCTGTGGGTTCGAGCCCCGCGTCGGGCTCTGTGCTAACAGCTCAGAGCCTGGAGCCTGTTTCAGATTCTGTGTCTCCCTCTCTCTATGACCCTCCCCCGTTCATGCTCTCTCTGTCTCAAAAATAAATAAATGTTAAAAAAAAAAATTAAAAAAAAAAAAAGAAATGGAAATTCTGGGGCCGAAAAGGAGGATATCTAAAATGAAAAATCCTCCAGAAGAGCTCAATAGTAGATTTGAATTGTCAGAAGAAAGAATTCACAAGCTTCAAGAGTCTTGAACTAGAGAGGGAAAGAAATGAAAAATGAATGGCGACTTGGAGACACGTTTTAAATATGTACAAAGCATTTTGTATCAGAGGCTGTCAGATAATAGATGCTCAGTGTTAGTTCTCAATATTATGTGATAAGAGGAAAGCCCTTTTCACAGGGAGGCAAACTGAAGCCCAGAGAGGGGTAGAAACTTGCTTAGATAGAATCACACAAAAAATTCGATGTCTCTCAAGATTTTCCTATTTAAAATTTAAACAGTTTTTAGCTTTGAGAGAGGGAGAGAGAGCGTGAGCAGGGGAGAAGGGCAGGGGGAGAGGGAGAGAGAATTCCAAGGGGCTCTGCTGAGCGTGGGGCTTTATCCCAGGACCCTGGGGTTATGAACGGAGCCAAAATCAAGAGTTGGACGCTCAACCAACTGAGCCACCCAGGTGCCCCATGACTCTCCTTTTAAAACTCTTCCATGATTCAACATAAGGTCTGTACCTGACCTAATAGTATTGGACCAGTGTCAGAGTCCTGGTTTTGACAAGGTACTGTAGTTACATATGATGCTATTATTGGGGAAAGCTGGATGGAAGTTAATACAGGATTCTTAAAAAAAAAAAAAAAAAAAATTTATAGCTTACTTATTTTTTGAGAGAGAGAGAGCAGGGCAGGGGCAGAGAGAGAGTCCAAAGTAGGTTCCACTCGAGAGCCAATGCAGGCTCTCACGAACCGCGAGATTGTGGCCTGAGCCGAAATGAAGAGTCAGATGCTTAACCGACTGAGCCAGAGTCCCCTACAGGACCCAGAGACCCCTACAGGATTCTATACACTGTTTTTCCAATTTCATGTGAGTGTTAAAACTTGTTTTTAAAAAGGTAAATATTTATGAAACACCTACTGTGGACCTCCCATGAACATGCCAGCTCTTATTCTGGGAGCAGGGGACTCAGCAGTGAACGAGGCAAGTAAGTCGTGTGTCCCCCCCCCCCCCCGGAGCTCACAGGGCGATGGGGCCATTTGCAGAGTGGTTAAGTACCAGGATTCTGGAGCCTGACAGTTTCCATTTGAATCCTGGCTGTGCCACTTACTAGCTGTGGTTATTTATATGTGTAGCACTCAGCACTGTGTAACTGCAAACTCATGTTATTTTTGCTAGTTATTATTTTTAGTTTTCTCCTGACCACCCAGTTATTTTTTCAGGGAGCCCCCTCCGCCCCAGGCTGGTTCTAGCACCTTTTGGGGTTCTGCAGGCTCCTGTGCCTCTCTCGCCTTGTCTCTGACCCCTCTGCCTGTGCCTCCCCTACTCCAGCCCCGGCCACACTGGGCTGTTGTTGGTTGGTGATGGCTATGTTTCCCCCACTGGACAGGGAACCTGCTCACTGGACCAGGGGTTTGCTGATCAGGGCTCTGTTCCCAGAATCACTCGGCACAGGACCGTGCACACAGCAGGCACTCAAGAAACATACTGAAGGCCTGAATGTTAGCGATAGTGAGAGGAACGCTGGAGCAATCTCTGTGTTCCTTGCCTTGAAGGTAGGGTTCAGGAATTAGGTGAGATCTGGAGGCCCAGCGCAGTAGAACCGGTGTACAGCGTGGAACACCATGTAACAGTGCCCCCTTGTGGTTTCTCCCATTTTAGAACCCTGGTGTGCGTGAGGCTCTCCCCGCCCCAAAGAAGGAGGACGGGGCGGGATCCCCACCCCGGGCGCCGCCCCCCCCCCGGCCCCCTGCTGCCCATGAACAACCAGGCGCGGTCCCCAAACCCCTCCCCGGCCCGGGTCTTGGCCTTGGTCCGGGCTTCGACCCCGGTCAGGTCCTCGATCCCGGTCCGCATCCCAACTCCTGCCCGGGCCTCGACCCCAGCCCGCACCCGGAATCCCGCCCAGACCCCGGTCCGGACCCCAGATCCCCCCCCAGACCTCGACCCCGGGCTGGGCCCCGAATCCCGTCCGGATCTCGGCCCGGGCCCAGAGTCCCGCTCAGACCCCGACTCCCGTCCAGACCCCGGCCTCAGCCTGGACCCCCACTCTCGTCCAGACCCCGACTCCGGTCCAAACCCCAACCCCAGTCTGGACTGAGACTCCTGTCCAGACCCCGACTGCCGTCGGGACTCCGACCCGGGTCCAGACCCTGACTCCAGTACAGATTCCGACCCGGGTCCGGACCCTGACTCCGGTGCAGATCCCGACCTGGGTCCGGACGCCCACTCCGATCAGGACCCCGACTCTGGCCCGGATCCCAGCCCCAACCTCATTCCCAGCCGGGGTCCCGATCACAGCCGTTGCCCCTGCGTCGGAATCCCACCTTTGGATCCACCCTCAGAATCTGCTCCGGAGCCCCCTGTGTGGCCGGACAAGGATCTTTCACCCACACCCAGTGTGAAGCACTTCCCATCAGTCGCCAATGGATTCGGCTCTGTCACCCAAGAGTCCCTTCCTGCCCACACTCCAACGGCCGCTGATTTCCTGGGGCCCACCCCTGGGTCAACCTCGAGGGCAGACTCCTCAGCCACCAAGTTGATGGATTCCACTCCCGATTCTATTCCCGCGCCCATCCTGGAGACCGACTCCTTCGCCACCGCTTTCACCTCCACCTTCGAGAACTTAGCGGAGGACAGCAAGATCCTGATTCGAGTGATCTACTGGTGAGGGGCGTCCCCGCCCACACCTGCCTTCCTCCCGTTGGGGAAAGCCCAGAGGGGGTGGGCGCTGGGGCTTCCGGGATTTGAAGATAGGGTGAGGGGAGGGAGTCCCCACTCCCAGTTGGAAACTTGGCTCCACCTATCATTTCCTCTGGGGCTGGGGAACTGTTAGCTTCAAATCTCTGCTCTGAGCTTCATTCATTCAGTCTCATGTACTCATTTTGGAGCGTGCTGCCCCCCGAGGGCCAGGCCTGCTCTGAGGATGGATGGAGTGCTGAACAGCGCCACCTGCTGTTCTCGCCAGGCCAGGCTGGGCCATGCAGACCCAAAGCCAGGCCCGGGAGGGGTGGGGGAATGCCAGACTGGGTGGTCAGGGATGGCCTTTCTCAGGCGGTGATGAGAAGGGGGCCTCCGCGTGAAGAGCTGGGTGTTGGGAGGGCAATCGAGGTGGCAAGGGGAGGAGGAACCGCAAGTGCAGAGGCGGAAGGAGGCTGGCTTCCGTTCTCTTTGGTGGTCCCAGAGCTGGGTCTTCTGGGTCCACGACAACAGTAACAGCAGGGACCTCCCCCAATCCCCATGTCTCTCTCCTGCTTTAGAACATTCTCTCCCCCTTATCTCTCCCAGTCTCACTCCCCCCACCCCCCATTTTTTCTGCCCAGGTGGTCTCTCCTGCTCTGTCCCTCCCCCCAACTCACTGTCTCTTTTCCTTTCCCGATGTAAATGCCTCCCTCCCCTTCTCCCCACTTCCTCATCTTCCCCTCTTTCTCTGCCTTCTCCTCCTTTCTAGCTTTCTTTGACTCCATGGATGCATTCATTCATTCATTCAACCACTATTTATTAAGCACCTACCTTGTGCCAGGCCCTGTCCTCGGCACCAGGGACACAGGAGTGCGTAAGACAGAGATCCCTGTCCCTTGTGGCACTCACGTTCTGGTGTGGAGGGGGCTGGAATGAACAATAAATATGGCACACAGTACATTATCTCGCATCGTAGAAGGTGATCAGTGCTGGAGCACCTGGGTGGTGCAGTCGGTTAGGCTTCCGACTCTTGATCTTGGCTCGGGTCATGATCTGGCAGTTTGTGGGTTCCAGCCCCACATTGGGCTCTGCGCTAATGTGCAGAGCCTGCTTGGGATTCTGTCTCGCCTTCTCTCTGACTCTCCCCCGCTTGTGTTCTCTCTCTCTCTCTCTCTCAAAATAAATAAGTAAACTAAAGAAAAAAAAGCGATCAGTGCCAATGGCAGAAGGAATGGGGGGGGTTTTCACAATTTTATGGGGTAGTCAGAAAGGCCTCCTTGAGAAGGTGATATATGAGTAAAGACCTGAAGGAGGGGAGAGAGGGAACCATGTAGATAAGAGCATTCTGCAGAGGGAACAGCCAGTGCAAAGGCCCTGTGGTGAGGCATGCAGTGTTGGAGGAGGAGTTCCGAGGTAGGAGGGGTGGAGGCGG